TAACTTTTTAATACAAAAATTAATTTTTTGTACTAAAAAATTGCTTTAAAAAATAGTAAGAAAGCTGTCCAAAATGAAGCCTTAGATTTGTTTGGGACAGACTTTAAGTCAAAAAAAATTGTACTAAAAAATTACTTCAAAAAATAATAAGAAAGTTGTGATTTTGTTTGAGAAAATTTTCTTATTATTTTGTTTTTTTATACAAATATTTCTATCTCAAACAAAGTCTTTGATATTTTTCCTCCTTTGTTTTACTATTATAGATATGAATGACGAATACAAAGATCATATATATGGATGTCAAACAATTTTTTGTTTTTTTTTTTTTTTTTTTTTTTTTTTTTTTTTTTTTTTTTTAAAGAAAGGTTACAAAAGAAGACCACACAAAGGGCCACATCACAAGCTTACAGGAAGAATAGTAAAAACAAAGAAAATACCATTAAGATTAAGGGTCGAAAGACTCGGACTCAGACCAGCTTCGGGTTGTCAGGGCGGGGCCATCCACTGCTAAACACAAAATCGAAAGAGAAGGGCCAACCAGGTTGCTAACCAACCCTGGCCATCCACGACGCTTGCAGCAACGCTGCTTCCTCATCATCCATATCAAAACTATTTGAACGGGCAACCAACATACCACAAAGGCAACCCAACAGTAGAAAATCAACAAGATCAGCAACCCAAAACAACACATAATGGCCAGTAAAACAAAACCAACGAAGAAACCAACAATCAGCGACCACGTCTGCCTCGGCCACGAGACCTACCATGTGAGGCAACAAAAACAAGAGGTTTGTCGCGCAACAAATTAAAAAATTACCAGGATCTCCATCTCCAATTGATTCCACAGAATCAGAATCAGAATATATTTAAGCTTGTTTGAAATAGCTTTCTTACTGCTTCATAAAAAAGCTTTTTAATACACAAATTAATTTTTTTAATTAAAAAATTGCTTTAAGAAGTAGTAAGAAAGCTGCCCAAAATAAAGCCTTAGGTTCGTTTGGGACAGATTTTTAATTCAAAAAAATTTGTGCTAAAAAATTACTTTAAAAAGTAATAAGAAAGTTGTGATTTCGTTTGGGACAATTTTCTATTTATTTTATTTTTTAGTACAAATATTTTTTGAATTCAATGAAAAAGTAGGAGCAAAAAACTATCTGAAACAAAGACTGATATTTCTCCTCCTTTGTTTTACTATTATAGATATGAATGACGAATACAAAGATCATATATATGGATGTCAAACAATAGAAGTATTGCAAAAATTTTAAAATTAAATTTTATTTATATTAAGTCTATGCTTTAATATTTATTTTTTTAATAGAAATTAAAAAAATTGACGAGGAGTGAATTTGCAGAATGATGATGTAATTTGATTAAAGTCTTTTTCACTATATATGAATTCATTGGACAATTTTGATTTGTCGTAGTTCAGCTTTCATTATAACATGTGACATGACAACCATTGTTAGTTAAATCTACAATCAAAGCTAAATAAGATTGAATTTTAAATGGGAGAGATGAAGTAAATAACTATATATAAAAATGATTACATATTGGATGTGAGGGAGTAGAAAACACAAAAAATGGGCTCATATAAGGAGTTAGCATATTCTACATAGCGACCGATATTGAGGTAGGAGTGAGAGATGTTAAGACTGCATTATTTACTATTCTAATTAATCTTGTAATCGAATCATTTGCTTCCACGTGTACCACCCTGCTATGGGTATCTATATATTCTCCTACTCTATTTGTAATAAGGATAGGAAAATAATAAGATCAATTATTTCTGTTTACTGTTCGTCTCCTATGTTTGGCATCCTGAGAAGGAATGCATTTCTACATGGTATCAAGAGAAGCAAGATTCTGAGACCATCGCCATGGCACATCAGGCCTCCGCTTCTTCTTCGTCGACGTCGGCAATGCCAGGCCTACAATCGCCGGCTCCGACCATCTCCCAATCTCTCAAGTTCGTTATCTCAAATTTAAAGTTTCTTGTTCCTCATTCTCTCACCCCGGACAATTTTCCCATTTGGAGCACACAAATAGCCAAATTATTCAAGGCTAATGGCTTCGCGGCATTTCTTGATTTCAAATCGGGCACCGAAAACCGTGATCCCAATTAAGATGACGCTCAATGGCTGGTCATTGACCAAAATCTCGCCACGGCAATGTGTTCGACTATCTCTGCCGAAGTGTTGCCTTATGTGATTCATCTTGATTCAACTCAAGAAATTTGGGCAACCCTTCACACAATATTTCAATCCTCCAATCGGTCCAAAGTAATTCAGCTCAAAAATGAGTACTTGACCGAAATCAAAAAGATTGTAGATCAAATATCCTCGGCTGGATCCTCCGTTGATCCGGAAGATGTCATAATCTACATCTTGAATGGCCTTCCGCCGGCCTACCAGTCTTTTACAACCACAATACGAACGATGCAGAGCACGATGACGTTGGACAATCTTTACGCCCTTCTAATTAGCGAAGAGATTCACCTCAAATCATCGGCTCTAAAATTTTCGCGCCCACCAGATAATCAATCAGCTCTATACACGGTCCGGGGCCGAGGACGTCGTGGTCGGGTAAGACAGCAAAATGATACCTCTACGGCGACCAGGAATCCTCAACATATTGCATCTACATGTCAAATTTGCAAAAAGAAGGGACATGAAGCGGACACATGTTGGCATAGAATTAATGCTAACTACATTCCGCAACAAAAATCGTCCAAGAATACCAACGCTCTTCTTGCACATACCGACAGCAATCTCGGTACAGATTGGTTCATTGACTCGGGTGCTTCGTCTCACATGACGAACTCGACTGACAATCTTTCTCACTATCACCCTTATAACGACAATGACGTGGTTACCGTCGGGGACGGAAGGTCCATTCCTATCGCTGATACGGGAACGGGTATCCTTCCAACCCCGGATAGTAAGCTCTTACTTTCTCGTATTTTACATATTCCTTCGATTTCGCATAATTTGCTTTCTATCTCCAATCTTGTCAAAGATAATCCCATATCTATTACTTTTGACGCTAATGGGTTTGTGTTTAAGGATCGGACGAACAACCAGGTTCTTCTTACCGGACCTTGCAATAATGGGTTGTACAAAATCCACACACCGATGCAGCGGACCTCCGTAACTGCTCTCTCGGCAACTCGGCTGTCTTCTGCTGACTGGCATGGTAGATTGGGACATCCCAATCATAGGGTGCTTCAATCTATATCCCGTAGCAATCCTGAGCTTCATATTCATTACAAAAATTCAAAATGCATTTCTTGTTTGACTTGTAAAGGACATAGAATTCCGTTTGATATTTCTACTACTGTAACTCATGCGCCACTAGAACTTGTTCATTCTGATGTTTGGGGACCGTCTCCGGTTCCCTCTCATCAAGGATTTAGATACTACTTAATCTTTGTTGATGATTACTCGTGCTTTGTTTGGCTATTTCCGTTAATGTTGAAATCTGATGTGTTTAATATTTTTACGCAATTTGTTACATTCATTGAACGTCAAACAAACCGTAAGCTTAAAGTAATTAGGACAGATGGCGGCGGAGAATTTGTAAATCAGCAATTTCAATCGTTTACCAGGGTTGCCGGAATATTGCACCAAACTTCGTGTCCGTATACGCCGGAGCAAAATGGGATTGCGGAGAGAAAGCACCGTCATATTATTACCACGACAAGAACTCTCCTCCAAACGGCTGGATTACCTATGTCGTATTGGCTAGAAGCTGCTTCCACAGCCACATATCTTATCAACAGAATGCCATCCGTTACAACCCAAAACATCACTCTGATTCAAAGAATGTTCAATATCCGACCGTCTTATGAGCATCTTCGAATTTTCGGATGTGAATGCTACCCGTTATCCTCGCAAATTCATCGTACCAAGCTTACTCCTACGTCGGAGGCGTGCTTGTTTCTTGGATACGCTGAAACTATGAAAGGATATAAGTGTTTAAACCTGGTAACTCATAGAATGTTTATTTCCAGACACGTTCGATTTAACGAAACTTTCTTTCCGTATAAAATCAGGTGCTCTCAGGAACAACGAAATACAACCAATACTCCCTATCCTCTGCTCGTTCCTGCCTCTGCTCTTCCTCAACCATTGTCTATCCATCGACAACAGGACACCAGACAATCTCCAGAACTCACCAATATCGGGAACTCATCCAATGCGCATGCCGTTCCTGCACCGGAAGTCGCCCATCCTTCGGATCACTCTGCTGCTCCCTCTCTGCCTGTCAAGCACTCAATGACTACTCGAGCTAAGATAGGCAATCTAAAACCTGTGAACCAACTCAATCTTATTCACACAGAACAATCCCAACAGGATCCCACGACATACACTGAGGCAAGCAAACATTTTGAGTGGCACTGGGCAATGGGCGACGAATTCTTTGCTCTACAAAAGCAAGGAACTTGGGAATTAGTTCCACCACCGCTCTCTGACTCTGTTCTAGGATCGAAATGGACATACATAACCAAGTACAATTCTGATGGATCCATTGCAAGATTCAAAGCTCGTCTAGTCGCTCAAGGAAATCAACAAGAATTCGGATTGGATTACCAGAAAACCTTTAGCCCGGTAGCAAAGCTACCTACCATACGAATTCTGTTTACCATAGCTCTTTTCCACAGCTGGAATGTACATCAACTTGACGTCGCGAATGCGTTTTTGCACGGTGATATTAATGAGACTGTCTATATGAGACAACCCAAGGGGTTTGAAGATTCGGCGCAACCCACACATGTCTGTCGTCTCCAAAAGGCCATTTATGGGCTTCGGCAAGCACCAAGATAATGGTACACGACATTTACAAACTATCTCCTTCAAATTGGCTTCAAGCATTGCCAGTCAGATCCTTCGTTACTGATCCTGCATCGTGACAAGTTACAAATCTACCTATTGGTCTATGTGGATGGTATTCTTATTACCGGGAATGACGACAATAAAATGAAGGACCTCATAGCGCAAATGAAGCACAAATTTATCATGAAAGATCTCGGGTTAGCACATCAATTCCTCGGCATTAAGATTGACTCCACTCCAGATATGTATTTTCTATCTCAAACTACTTACGCTCAATCAATTCTTCATATAGCCGAGTTGCACAAATGCAACTCGGTTGCTAATCCTTCCTTTTCAAAAATTCCAGATCAGCACCTGGAGGAATTACTCTGTTTTGACGACCTTCTCTACTGGAAGATAATCGGATCTCTACAATACTTGACTTTAACAAGACCAGACATCGCTTACGCAGTGAATGTATTGTCTCAGCACATGCATAAACCGGAAGTCATTCACACAGCTATGCTAAAGAAACTTCTTCGATACATTAAAGGTACACTTGAGTTCGGTCTTCCTATTTCCCGTTCCAGTCTTCAGCTTCGGACGTATTCTGATGCCGACTGGGCTTCGGATCCAGTCACACGTAAATCTACAACCGGCTTTTGTACATTTCTTGGAGACACGTTAGTTTCTTGGACTATCAAGAAACAAACCACGGTTTCTCGATCCTCCACAGAATCTGAATATCGAGCCTTAGCGTCCGCAACAGCCGACACTATATGGATCAAACGCCTTCTAACGGATTTTAGCATCGACCACCAGCAGCCGGTTGATGTATTCTGTGATAACACATCCACCATCGCTCTAGCGAATAATCCCGTATTCCATGCTAGAACGAAACACATAGAAATCGATCAAAGATTCGTGCGGGAGCATATTATGAACAATACAATTCGGTTGCTACCGATAAGCACTGTTGATCAGCTCGCCGACATCCTAACCAAGCCATTAGCTACCTCTTGGTTCAAACTGTTGAGATCCAAACTGACTATTGGTCCCCGATCGTCAGTTTGAGGGGGAATGTTAAGACTGCATTATTTACTATTCTAATTAATCTTGTAATCGAATCATTTGCTTCCACGTGTAACACCCTGCTATGGGTATCTATATATTCTCCTACTCTATTTGTAATAAGGATAGGAAAATAATAAGATCAATTATTTCTGTTTATTGTTCGTCTCCTCTGTTTGGCATCCTGAGAAGGAATGCATTTCTACAAGAGAGACAAAGGCTTCATTTGGGATGATTTTCTTGCTTCTTTTTAAAGCAGCTTTTTAGTACAAAATTTTTATACTAGAAAGCTGCTTTAAGAAACAGTAAGAAAGTCGTCTCAAACAAAGCGTGATACTTCATTCTTCTTAAAGTAGTTTTCTAATTCAAAATTTTTAATTTTTGTACTACAAAACTATTTTAAGAAGTAGTAAGAAAGCCATCCCAAATGAAGCCTAAGACTTGATTGTTATCCTAATAAGATGATAAAGTGATTACCTACTGAAATCCCTAAGGAGATTAATGCTCTATATTTTAGTGGGCAATATGCACCTCTTGGTTAGTACTGTTTGTTTGGTTTTACTTTTAGTTATGTGCTACTTTTTTTTTGTTGGTTTCTGAAATTATTGCTCATATCACCCACCACTGTTTGTCTGGGTGGTGAAGAGCCGGTTGGGCAAAGTTTAGATTCCTGGTTCGAATCCCTTGGCAAACAGTGAAAGCCTTAAGTGTTGGCCCGTGTAAATTGGTGTGGGTTGAGTGTTAGGTCGACTGGGATTTTCACTGGCCTAAGAACAGTACTTCCTCGTCACAAAAATAAAAAGCTCATATCATAGGATTGTTATATAATAATAATATTTTTTTTCCTCTTATGATCATTTTTGTCTTATGATTTTGACATATTGATTATTCGTAGTTATTTGGCATAAAATTTTTTAGCCAATTATTTTTTTATATTTTTGTGATGTCTATGTGATACCACCTTTTTTTTAGATAGGCTAATGGTTGAATTTCTCAATATTTTTTTTAAGGGTGTGATGATATTCTTAAGTTGAGGTTCACTAAGTTTGTTTGCATTTATCGTGATGTTTCAAATTATGCAAATATTTAATTGATTTTAGTCCAATTGTTTTAGATACTTTGGTACTCTTAGAGTCTCTTTAAGATGATTGTAATTTTTTATAATGGTAGATGTAAAGTTATTTTAGAAAAAAAAATTTAAAAAGTTGTTATTGAAAGCAACTTCCTAGAACAAAAATTTATTAAAAAATTTTTAAAACAGCTACCAAACAAAAATTATAATTATGATTTGAAAAGTAAAACAATAAAAAATTGTCTCATGAAACCTCAGGACAACTTTAGACCACTATTTTTTTCTTGCTTTCAAAAATCTTTTTTACTAAAAAGTAGCTTTACAAAGCAATAGTAAAGTTGTCCTAAATGAAGCCTTAGGTTTCAATTGGGATGATTTTCTTACCGCATCTTAAAACAACTTTCTAGTATAAAATTAAAAATTTTACTAAAAAATTGTTTTTAAGAAATAGTAAGAAAGTTATTCCAAACGAAGACTAAGGCTTCATTTGGGATGAGTTTTTTATTACTTCTTAAAGCGGAGTTTTAGTTAAAACTCAGTTTTAAGAAGCAATAAAAAAGCCGTTTCAAACGAATCCTAAGTCAATTGTATAACATTATCAAATGAAAATTTTGATAGCTTAAGACTTCTCGTAATACCACCATAGGTGATATCTTTCACACTATATGTCAACTTATATTAAATTGATGAATTTTGTAGTTATGCCTTGGTAATTATTGACTTTCACTAGAGAAATTGTTTGGACTCGGCTACGGCTCTCCATTGTTCTCTTATACAAAAATTTATGTAAAAAAATCTTATATCATATGTGCAGCTCTCAACTTATTTTTGTACATTAGATTTTCATACAACATTGTTGTTATGTGCTAAAAATTTTAAGTAGGTGAAGTGTATATTTTATATCTCTGTGTTTTACAAAAATTTAGTACGTATAAATAAAAGTAGTATGATCTAAATTTTTTTTAAATAGAGAATCCAAAAAAGAAAAAAAATCACGAGGGCTGACACAGTTGAAATATTTACTATATAGTAAGTGATACGAGAATTCTCCTCTTCGCTATTGAAGAAGAGGATGATTAAACAAAAGTTTGATTTTCCTTGAGGGATATTATAGAAATCATATCTACAAAGTGACAGTTGAGACCCAATAAGAGTGCTTGATTTCTTAAACATAGACTATATAAAAGGTGGTCACAGACGAACAACAATATACAATATTAGAGTTAATCTTCTTAGTATTCTACAGATGGTGATGATTTTTTATGCTGATCATTGATGATGATTGTGATTGTGAAGTTTCTAATAATGCTTTGAGTGTTTAACTTGAGCTCATTTAGACTCAGATTAAACACACTTTTGATTTGGTTGGTTTTGACTCATTAAGACATTTAGATCAACTATAAATTTGTTGAAATTAGAGTTCATATGATCTTGAATTTAATTTAAGTAATTTTCAATTCAAATTTCTGCCAAGAGGTTTGTACTGACCATATATCAATTATTATAATAAAATATCTCTTATCCCGCATAAATATTTCATCAGACAATAAAACTGTAAAAAAATAAATATTTTTGATATATCATCAAAAAATTATGGCACGAATCTTAAAGCAAAATCAAGTTGGAAATTTAAAAAATTAAATCGGTAAACATCTGAACTCTGATTTTAGCAAACTTACAGCGAACTGAATGTCTTGAAAATATGAACCCAACGACACCAAATTTGACTCAATCCAAGTCCAAATGAGTCCAGATCAAGGACCTGAAGCACATTTGAAAGATTCAATCCATAATTTGGATTATCAAACAATCTTCAAACATGACATTCTTATAATTGAATCGAGTGGCTCAACGAGACAAATCCAACAAGCCTAAGATCGTCAAATTCTGATATCATTAAGACATTCAAATGCCCAATAAACAGTCTACGATCAAGGGATTCAACATCGACCGTCCATTCAAACCACTTCCAGTTTACCCTTGATCTTCCTCCAATTTATTGGCTATGCCACTCTTAGAACATTATAAACAGACCCGTCATTCCTCATGGAAGAGGGGGAGGAGAAGGGGTCCCCCAAGCAAGAAGAGAAGGAAGATAATGAAGAGTTTTCTTGCCACCAGACTCCTCGACCACCATCGGGCTTCAGCCCAGCCACCGACTGTCACCAAACTTTTACCCGGCTTTCGACGGACATCCGATTTCTGCCCAACCACCAACTAATGCAGGACTTCGGCTCGTCGCCGGACTTTTACCCGTCACTGAACTTATGCCCATCATCGGATTTCTGCCGGACGCCAGACTTCCACTCATCGTTCGACTTCTTCCAATCGCTGGACTTTCATCAAACTTCTACTTGACGTCATACTTCCACCCAATACCAGACTTCCGCCTGTCGTTGGACTTTTATCGGACTTCTACCCGACGCCGAACTTCTGCCTGTTGCCGGACTTCCGGCCTCCGTCGCCAGCTGACTATGGTCCTTCCGACCTCCATAGACATATTGCAGTCCTTCCGACCTCTGTCACCAGACAACGGTCTTTTCTTATCACTATCGCCCACTAACTACGGTCCCTTTGAGCACAGTCACCAGACTACAGTCTTTCTAACCTCCGTCGCCTGCCGACTATAGTTCATCGACCAAACAAACATATCAATAATGATTTTTTCAAAGTCTCATCATGTAATGCACTTCATATGATGTATATGTTGCGACTCATTGCTCACGAGTTTATATTTTTGATGATAATAAACATTATGGCTCACATCTTTATGTTTCATAGTATTTTTCATTATATACTTATTTTATGTGTATACTAATTAACATTTCAGAATAATCATACTCCATATTGTTGAAGGCTTCAAATCAAGAATCAACAAATGTTATCAAAGCTTTGTTTCAAAACTATAAGTTTAAACAAGTTTTTGAAAATGATCATGACTACTTTTAAAAATCGTAACATATTAGAAAGATATTCGATCACTAAACTACCTTTATTTGATTTTTTTTTTTGTAAAATTCGAATGTCTACATGAAAAATTTAATGCTAAAGTCATTGCTATAATTGAATCAAAAGATTTAAATGATTATACTATTGATAATTTAATTGGCTCACTCATTGCTCACAAGCAAACTGTGTACGTGTCAAAGACTTTTGGATGCAGGTGAAATGATAGTGCTAAAAATTGACAACATAGAGAAAAGCAACTCAATAGATGATGAAAGTAAGGAGACATCATCGATAATGAGAAAATTTGAAAAGCTACTAAAGCGCAAGCATCAATATCAACAAAAGATGAATAAATGTAAAAATGGTAAGGATATTAAGAACTCCTCTAAAATAATTTGCTTTGGGTGTAGAAAATTTGGTCATATGAAAAATGAGTCTTCGAACTTAAAAACTTTTTTTTGCAATGATAAAAGGTAAAAATAAGCAAATTGCAATAAGGGCAAACGATAAAAAAAAAAATCCTCCTAGGTAGACTTAGCTTTTGAATCATCAGATTATGAGCAAGATGATGTTTAAAATTTATTTGTGTTTGTTTTTATTTTTTGTGTGTTTGTGTTTTTGTTTCTGAAATTTGATATTTTTTTTGTGAATATGTTTAATTTTTTATGTTTTTAGGATATGTTTATTTATGTTCTTTCTGTTATTTGTAAAATCACTCTGATTAACACACACACATTTTACATTTTCTTTTCTATACACTTTAGATAATTAAATCATTTTTCAAAAATCATTTTTACTAAAAATAAAAAATTTACCTCATATTTTTTTGAATTTTTATATAAGTTGTGGTTGACTTCTATAAAACAATGAAAGAAAGGAAACATATGATTTTGTCTCTCTATCTTATTTCCTAAAGATGCTATTTTACTTTTGATTTAAAATCTTTATCAAATTATAAATTAAAATGTAAAATTGAATTTTT